CAATCTGAACTGCTGATGTATTTTTCCCTTTACCTCATCCTGTTATATAATCTCCCCAAGTCAGATGAGCATTTAAAAAAGTACTCATGAGATATAGTTAAGTGAAAAAGCACACATTACAGAAAAGTGTGTGCTATGTAATTCAATTTGTTTAAAATATTCATAAATAGAATTTCTTAGAAGGCCATAGATACAAAATATTCATTGTTTGTTCCTAGAGATGGGATTTAGGAAGCATTAGGCAGGGTTCAGTTAGGAACACAAACTACATGGGCTGTTTCCCGTAGAAAGGATTCCTCTTAGGGACTTTTTTGCTGGCAAAACCACGGGGCGGGCTGGAGAAGAGAAGGGTGGACGGAGGCCACCAGGAGCTGTCAGGTTTGTCATCACAGTGTGGTCCCCTCACAGATCAGGAACCGCTACTGCCCTCGCACCTGCCCACAGCTCCAGGGTGTGCCCTCATGTCACCACAGTCTGATGCACACTGGCTTCCACCTGCCTCCTGTCTTCCACACCCAGGGAGGGCATCCCACTGGCAGAGCCAATGGCGTATTCAGAACCCGGTCGCCAAGGGAGCCTGGGAAGTGGTCCCCAGGGTCCAACCTCTTTGACTCTGGGGAGTGTGTGTCGGGGGTGGGAATGGTACCAGACCGGACAGTATTCACGGAAGTCTATTATCTTTGGTTACTCGACAACCACACACATTCTTTTACACTTAAATTTCCAAATGGTAATAGCAATGGACACCAAACTGCTGTGACAACCCCTCATTCCAACGTAAATGAACTCACTTTCTCACCAAAATGGGAGACCCAAAGTCCTATCAGGTGTTGCATCGTTGATAAATCACTCCTCTTCTAGTTCAATGTCAAATCCACCTAGATAGCATGGAACCTAACTATTTAATTGTAAGTTTCACCAACTTATTTACAACTGGTCATGAGGCAGAGTTGATATTTATCTTCCATCTTCCAGGTTGTTCTAAGGTACTAACTTTTATCACTGGGCAATTTCTAGGAGGTGGCCTAGAGAATCCCTTGCGTTCCAGACAGAGTCCTCCCTGCCCCATGGTATCCAACAATCCAATTTCCTTCTGATAGGACCAATCACCCCAGCAGGACAGTAACTCTCCTCACTGCCAAGGGCCTGGTGGCGGTCAGTGGAATCACTGTGGTGTTCTTTGGTGGAAGCACAGTTCCCTCAGGAACTAAGACTTCTAAACTAGCAGAGCTCAAAGTTGCAAGGATGAGAAGCAACCATTTTTTTTTTTTAATCCTCACCCGAGGACATTTGTCCATTTTTTTTTTTTGTTCAGATAGAGCGGGAGGGAGAGAGAGGAAGAGAGAGAGAGAGAAACATCAATGTGAAGGGACGCATCGAGGGGCTGCCACCCGCACAACCAACCAGGGCCGGGGACAAACTGCAACCGAGGTATGTGCCCTTAGCGGGAACTGAACCCGGGTCTCTGTACCGCAGGCCGAAGCTCCAACTGCTGAGCCAAACCGGCCAGGGCAGAAGCAACCATTTTTTAAAGTGGGTTTTCAGGGTCTATAAATTAGAGGAGCTACTTCTTCTTCTACCTGGACCCCAAAAAAGGCAGCACTGTATACTCCTGCTAATTGGGAGCATTTACTGTACCTCCAGGGCATTGAAAAATGTGCATCTCCTAAATGGTGCAGTAGGGTAGACGAGGTCTATTATGGTAGGAATCCAGGTCATAAGTACTCATCACCTGACCTGCTATGGACTGAACTGGGCACCACTCCCCCACACTCGTATGTTGCAGCCTAACCTGCAATGTAATGGTATTTGGAGATGGGAGTTTTGGAAGATAATTGGGTTTGATGAGGTCCTGAGGGTGGGGGGCTCATAATGAAATCAGTAACCTTATAGAAGAGACACCAGAGAGCTTGCGTCATCTCTCTCTCCCTGCCCTGTGAGGACACAGTGAGAAGGTGGCCTTCTCCAAGTTCACTGGGAACCGAACGGGCTGGCACCCTCATCTTGGCCTTCCCAGACTCCAGAACTATGAGAAATAAATTCCTGATGGTTAAGCCGCCTAATCTGTAGTGTTTTCCTGCAGCAGCCTCAGCTGACTAACAATATACCTTCATACATCCTCACTTTGACTGAAGAAAGACTGTACCCACTTGTGGCAGGGTAGTACACACCTTCCCCTTCATCCAAGGGGCTCTGGGTCTGTGCACTGGGTCAGGGAAAGGAACTGGATGAGAGGCCACGGGTCTCCGTTGCAATGGCATGTCAAGTCTCTGTTCACCAGACCAGCGTTTTTTGACTACAGAGATCAAGTAACACTTTGGTAGCCGCCCATTGATACTGGTCCTAGAGACCCTCTGATCAATTAGCCAGTATCACAGATTGCTGCAGGTCAAACCTTTTTGATTACTACTGTTGCCCTGTTGACCAACACAGTAACCAGCCCACTGACTCCAGTAGTTAAGTGGCATCAAAGATTTCATTTTAATGATGTCACCTCCCACCCAACATCCTGACTCCCTAGGCCTCTGGACCCCTACCTTACACTACTGTCATTCTGGCATTTCAACATTAGTTAATGCAGTCCTCCACCGAGTCTAGTTTTCAGTTAATCCAAGTACTAGAACCAACATACTGAATCTAGAATCCCTGGTCATACCAATACATTCACCATCAACCCAACACTGAATTCCTCCCTCCTTGGACTAGAACCCGTAGGTTCTAATCCCACACACATTCCCCCCAAGTTCCAGTGAATAGAAACAAAATCTTACAAATGTTTTACTGTTTTAGCTGTATCTTTCCGGGCTGGAATTTCTCCTTGTCTCCCTGGTGCGGGATGAAAAACGACTACCTTTAGGCCTCAAAGAGGATGGAGTACCAGTGAGGCATGGACACATCTGGCACCCCCGCCTGGGGTCGACTGCTACAGAGTCTCCCAGCAAGGGAGGACCAGCTTTATCAGACAGGCAGGGGGCTGGTTCCGCAGGAAGGGAAGCTCAGTGGGGTTTGTAAGGCTCCAGGAATGTGAACTGATTTGAATCAACCCAGTCGTCTCGATTCAAATGCTCATCATTTCATCTTTTCCTACCCATGCTTCACCTTTACCTAAGAGAGCCAATGCGGCTGTGTCTTCAACTTACGCTGGAATTCAGTGACCTTGGCTACATTGGCCCTATGGCCGTAAGAGATGGGACAGTATTGTAGGGCGGTCCCAGAAGGTCCCGGGTTCTCTGAAGGGGACCTGAGAGAACAATGTAGAACTATGAGGTTGTCATGGTCTTCCTTTAAGCAATTCAGTATTGCTTAAGTGTGGATATATCGTAGTTGACATAAAATATTCCCTTACTAATACTTTTTCACTTTTCCAATAAATTCCTAAGTCAGACTCAGATTAAAGTAACAGGATAGTCTGTAAGGTACCAGAATTGTACATGACTATAATGACAATCAATTCTCTAGACCCTGGCTATGCTAAGGCAGTCAGAGTTCGTTCAAGGTGTCTGGCTGCTACTGTATGGAGCCTATCATAGGACCTCAGGACCTGAGGGCAAACCCATTTCCTGGTGTGCTGGGGGTGGGGGCGATGCCTTAGTCACTGGAGTTCAGAGGACAAGAAGAGCCTTGTCTTACTGGCCCACATGTCTGCATGTCTTCTAGCCCTTCAGGGAGCCTCTTGAGTTGGGGTCAGCTCATTTACATAATGAAAACTGGCAGAATTTAATAGAACATCTGCGCAGATACAACTTTTCTGTAAATAAAAGACACTAATACATGTTTATGGTCAATAAGCTCACTGTATTTTTACACAAAGCAGTTTGGCCATTATATCCCATTTAAACATCCTGAAATTGAGTTTTCCCGGTAATATGTGATGCATTTTTTCCACAACTCACTGAGCCCATTTGCCTTCATCTTCAGGTGTTGAAAATGCAGCATGTTTTAATAAAAATTACAAATCCACCCATTTCCTCTGTTAGCCTCCTTTAAATCTGCTACAATCGTTTCTTTGGGCTGAAAATTCCTCTCCGCTCATGCACAGCTAACCTGCAATCACTCTGAAGACCAGGATACAATTTAAAAGTCTGGCGGTTCTAAATTAGAATATGAAATTTATTGTGTGGCTCCAGTTCAGTGCAAAATTTTCCACAATGTTGCCCAGAAACACAGGCCCATCAGTACCCTCATCAAGTAGCCCTGTCATTACTATGACTCCGAGTTGGAACAAAATGCATCCAAAGTTTCCTCTAACCCAGGACTTCGAGGGGCAGAGCTTAAAGCAGCTGCCTCTGAAGCCGTTGTAATCGTGGCTTGTGCTTCGCAAACAGAGCACTCTTTCTCCATACAGGTACGTGCCAACCATCTGCTTTCTTCAGGGCTGTTCCCTGAGCGCAGGTAGGAAGATAATGGTTCTCATTCTTGGCTCAGTGAGCCACTTAAAGCCAACCTCTCCCCTGAAGAGCAGGGCGGTACACTCCGTGCTGTGTGCAGGAGGCTCCAGGGCCAACTGACAAGCGAGGAAGCGGCAGTCCCTTGATATTAAGCTCTAGCTTTTTCACTAGTGATGGATCAGATCTTGCCCGAACCTTAGGAGTCTGTGACAGGCTAAGACAATGTTAAATTCCAACTATTATTAGATTATCTGGAAGCCTACATAATGCTTTGTTACAAGCCTCATTCTTAAAGCTCTCAAAATCCCCACGTAGGCCCACAGTCCACACATGGAGGGCAGACTTGGTGAATAAAAGGTGTGCCAGGGGTGCTGGACTCTCAGGTAGAGGGGTTCCAGTTAGAACTTGTAAATAATCCATCTCACATAACTTCTGATTTCACACCCTCATCAATGAACTGAGGATTCCAACTGCCACCCTCGATCAGAACGGAATAATAAAGGAGAAAGCGCGTGGTTAGCAACGCATCGTTAAGGTTCATAAAGGCGACTCAGCTCCGAGACGCAGGTCACCGCCCCGAGGGGCAGAGAGGAAGCATGACCCGAGGGCTACCTGATGGTGCTGCCTTGCAAGCGGTCTATCTTCTTGTTGAGCTCAGCGATGATGCTGTGGAGTTCCGTGATGCGCTCCTCGTACCGAAGCGTCGTGCGCTCCTGGACGTCCTCATGCTCTCTCATGAGGTGGGACTGCTCACACTGGAATCAAGGGACAAAAATGAGACGGCGGTGAGATGACACAGCTATGGGCTGGCGATTCTCAGTTTTACAGCCTCAAACCTTCACAGCATCAACAGTGAGCATACCCCAAATAAAACGTATGCCTGCTCACGGCCCAGCGACCCCGAGACACGAGCCCCTGGTGAACGTCTGAGTCCTTGCCTCTCTGGCACCTGTTCCTCTCTGGGAAAGGTCCCTTGGCCACTGCACACAACCTTCGTGGGACTAACCGAGTCTCCTCTTTTCCTTAGCCAAGAAGGGGGCAAGTGGCCCAAGCTGGGCCCTTCCGATAGCTTCTTTGGGGATTTGAATCTTGAGAGAATGGACCTAGGGTTGCATGAAGTCGATTCCCCCGACGGAGGGTCCAGAAGAGACTGTCCCTTAGTTCCTGCTTCGTGTATCCCCAGAGCTGCTGGGCTGTTTCAGTTACTTTTATTTTGTTTAAAGTATTTAATTATTCATTCATCAAAAAAACAAGTAAGTACAAAATTATTGATCAAGAAAAATGTTCTTCAGTTACTTTTCAGCTGAAGGACCCTAAGTGGTAGGACACCATTTATTCGCCTGGTTCTCTGCGGATTCAGTGCTTCTACTGTCCTGCCCTACCAGACTCCAAACTCTTGGGAGGCAGGGACTAGATTTCACGATTTGGCCCTGGCACCTGGCATACGGCCTGGGTCACCGTGGATGTTTGGGGCATGTCATGCAATGAGTAAACCACAGTGTGTCACACTGTCATGAGGCTGCTTTGCAGAAACAACGACAAGAGAGGCTAAGCTCAGCATTTGATTGACCAAAAGGCAACAGATGCTCTAAAAAACATTTTTGTTGCCAAAGTTTAAATCCTAAAGACCCTGTTTGCTTCTTTAATTTCTCTCCCTCTTCATAACCCCTGCCACCAGTCACTGTGCATTTAATCTCATTTACATAATAATACAATGCTCATTGGTGATGGAGTCTAGCTTATGTCTACTACGATGAACCCTGATTGATTTCCTGTCCGGCAGAGGAGTTTTTATTTCATTTTCAGCATGACTTCCCAACGCCAAGACTTCTTATTCACTAGCTCCCCTTCCCGAAACCTGCCAGGCTCCCACAGGTACGTGCAGGAGCCACTGGGCAGGGATGAAAAGCCCCCAAAGGTAAGCCGAACACTACACCAAGCCCATCTCAATACTGAAATGCAAGTGCTCAGCACAGAAGTCTGATGTGTATGTTGCTATAAATCACGGCAGGGATCACATCTCTGAAGAGGACCCTCAACAACTGCTTCATCAGTATTCATGAGGTAACATCCTGGGGGCTGCTCAGAGCTCCAGAAACAAGATCAGATGCAACAAGGTTGATGAAAGCTGTGTCACAGGTTTTTGTGAGATAGTCACCTTCAGAGAAATAGACTTTTGTTCTGAGTGACAACCTGAAACATCCAGTAACCTCCACTCAAAATCAAACACACAGGCAATACGTGGAACCAGAGGCAGGAATTAACACGGAGTGAAAGCTACGTCAACCTGGAAGCTCTCCTAAACAGAATGAATCTACAACAGGCCACAAATAACCTTTCTATGAAGTTATCCTTCTTCATCCACGATCCATCACACTTAAAAAAGGAACAACAGAATAGTACACAATGACATGTCTCAAAGACAATGTCAGTACATGAAAAAGCATATTTCTCTGGACTATACCAACAGCAGAATGCTGTTCCTCTCTATCCAAGCAGAATATCTACAGGCTTTTGCTACTGGTCTTCACTACCATCTTAAAATTGTGTGTGTGCATGTGTGTGTGGTATGTACATGTGCATACGAGCAGCTAACATTCATATGAAGGTCACTGACTGCAGACCCTACAATAATGACAGGACAATGCCTGGTCAGACCTGGATCTCGTCTGCGCCATGACCCTCCCACACTGCCACCTCGCCAGTTCTTCCTCCTGTTTCCGCACTCAGTTCTCTAGTGCTTCCCCTTGCAAATTCAACGAGCTCTCACTGTCCCTGAATCTCCTCTTGCTCTTCCTTCTTTAGCCTTTATATAGGTCAACATACCACTAAGGCAGACAAGAAAATGCAAAACCCACTTAAAAATGAAGAGGTGCACCCTAGCCAGTTTGGTCCAGTGGTTAGAGCATTGACCCGCAGACCAATGAGTCGCAGGTTCAATTCTGGTCAAGGGCACGTACCTCAGTTGCAGTTCGTTCCTGACCCTGGTTGGGGTCATGCAGGAGGCAACCAGTTGATGTTTCTCTCTCCCTCCTCCCCTCCCTCCCACTCTATGTGAAGATAAATAGAAAAATATCCTCGGGGGAGGATTAAAAAAAAAAAGATGAAGAGGTGCAAGTGATTATATAGGAGAAAGGCATGTGACCAATGCATAACCACCAAGACAACTCTGGGCGTCCCTGTTGACTGTTCTGAGCTGCCCAGGGTGCAGAGCGATCATGTGGGTGATGTCGGATAACAAGAGCATGGTGGCTGGCTTGTACCACCTTCCCCCCTGACTCTAACAGGAAAGTCTGCACAGAGACAATAGGAAGCCTGATGATTCAGTCAGATGGAAAAGTGCTCATAGCTAAAAGAAGAAAAAGGACTTATAATGCATATTTGGAACTACGGGGTTCATTTGGGAGTAACAACAAGAATGTATTGGCAAAAATATTTCTTAGCTGATGGCAAAGATCCCTCCTTTGCATTCCTATATTTTCCCAACAGTATGCTTTTAAGAAAGCCTCCATAATTTAATACTTCCTGTAAAACTAACAGATATGTTCTGATTTCCCATAATATCTAAAATATTGTGCTAGGTGCCATGGTGGGGGGGGTCACTATGATGTCTACTTTGAAGGGAACTGTGGTCGCAACTTTCAGGTGGTCTTCTCTACTGGACAAGAAAACACGTGGACAGACGTGGGGGTGGGAGGAGGAGATGGTAGAATGGTACCTGAAGACTCCTTTCCTCCTGGAAAGAGAATACTGGAAAATAATGATCACAATTCCTAGCCTCTCTAGGAGTGAGCGGTTGAGAAGACATTACTTAAGGGTCTTCTGTATAAAGCAACATCCCCTTGAGGTATCTCATTAAACACCTCCCCTTTCTGTGCACACTCACTGTACACAGCCAAAGGTACTTTGGAGCGGTGATCTCCAACTTCCGTGAGAATCCCCTGGGCTTTTCCGAGCCGCGGCACAGGGGAAAGTGGAGCGACTTTCACAAGGGCAGTGGTGCAAGAAGAAACAAGTCATCACCTGCAGGAGCCAAGAGAACCCAACAAAACACCCTTGTCAGGCCTCCCATTAAACTTTGCAAGAGCCAACCCCAGGAATGTGGCACTTCAGTGCAGGAGAAGCAGATGAGTGGGTGGCACCCAGGACAGACAAAGCTGCTCTGTGCGCGACCGGTGCCTTCCTGTCCTGGCCTCCCACGCAGGCAGGCCCGGCCCGGCCAAGCGACAGCCGATTCTGTCTTCACGCTCCAGTACTGTTACCGACCCGGCGCCTCTCACTGCTTTGAACTTCTGTGGCGTGTGCAAGTTTTTTTTTTTTGCTAATCCTCACCTGATTTCCATTGATTTTTTTTTTTGATAGGGTGGAAGGGAGAGAGGAAGGGTGGAAAGGGGGGGGAGAGGGAGGGAGGGGAAGAGACCAACGAGAGATGAGTGAATATACATAATTTTTGACTTGAAGCCTTTAAGAGCTCACGTGGGATTTGCCACATTCCCTTCCCCAGGCCAGGGCTGCTGGGGACCCTCCAGGTGGCAGAGGCCCCTCAGCTCGGGAGGCTGGGTGAGGGCAGTGTGGCAGAGTCTCTCGCCAGCTCCAGGGAGCTCCTAGCAAGAAGAAATAAACCTTTGGTATTTTAAGCCACTAAAAATTTGGGGTTGTTAGTACTGCGTATCCTAATGATGTAACCATTTTACAGGTGGAAACAAACTAAATGTAAAGTGGCCGATGTAGTTATTCTAACCCAGGTAAGAAGCAGAAACCCTCTGAAAACCCTCTCATTCCTGTTTATGGCACCAAGCGGTTGAAGCTTCTGCAGCCACAATCTTTTTCTTTTTTTATCTACTAATATTTTTATTTGAAGTACAAGTTTATATGCATTTCAATCGATTGAGCTTAGACAGAAAAATTTCCAAGGAAAGCAGTGGTATGATTTGAGAAGTGATCAAAATAGCATTTCACACTATCTCAGAGAACATCGTTAACCTAAATATTCATTATTTGGTATAGTGGGCAAAAATCGAAGGGTTGAAATAGCAAGAGAGGCAATCTTTCCTTGCATTGTTTATTTTTATGCTGGTATATTATTATTCGTGTTTCTTTAAGTAATGTTAAATTGCTTTTTAAAGTATGTTTTTATTTTATTTTTTTTCATTTATTTATATTTATTTTTGTTACAGATGTTTCTCCTTTTTCCCTCATTGACCCTCTCCTCCACCTCCCTCCCCGCCCTGTCCCCGGCTTTGTTGTCCATGTCCATTGGTTATGTGTACATGCATATAAGTTCTTTGGTTTATCTCACCCCCTCCAATCCCCTCTTCTGGGGATTGTCAGTCTGTACCTTACTTCCATGTCTCTGGGACTACCCTGTTCTTCAGACTGTTATGTTCATTATATTCCACAAATAAATGAGATCATGTGATAATTGTTTTTCTCTGGCTTATTTCGCTTAGGATAATACTTTCCAGGTCCCCCCATGTCGCCTCAAAGGATAAGAGATCTTTCTTTCTTACAGCTGCATAGTATTCCATTGTGTATATGTACCACTGCTTTTTTATCCATTTGTCTACCGATGGACACTTGGGCTGTTTCCAGATCTTAGCTATTGTAAAAAGTACTGCTATGAACATGGGGGTACATATATTCTTTCTGATTGGTGTTTCAGGCTTCTTAGGGTATATTCCTAGAAGTGGGATCACTGGGTCAAATGGCAGCTCAATTTTTAAATTTTTGAGGTAACACCATATTGTTTTCCATA